GGAAGAAAACTCAAAATCATTTGGAGAAGAAAAAAAAAAAAAGGGACCACGTTCGCTGGTCTGATAGAGCCTCGTGGAACCCCTGAGATTATGGCCCCTAGCTGTCCTTCGGGTCTGGAATTGAACCCACACCTGTGGCTTCCAGCCAAACAAAAGCATATGAGCTGAACATTTACATTAGGTAGATACACTCCTTGGAGAGATCAATCGTGGGAAAGTAGAAGGCTGTGTTTGCCCAGGGAGACAGCTCTGGGAGCAGGAGGGCAGGGGACACAGGGAAGAGGTAACTATGGGGAGGAAGTGGGAAAAGAGCTGTTGCATTGTGGGGAATTACAGTCAATGTCATGAGACGAAGTGTATGTAAGCTGATGTATGGAAAGTGAATTTGCTCTGTAAATTTTCACCCAAATCACAATTAAAAAAAAAAAAAAAGCAGAATTGGCAAAGCCACATAGAAAGCTGGTCAGCGCTTTCCAAGAGCGGGTGTGTGTGTGTGTGGGGGGTGTTACAGAGAAATGACGAGTGACCGAATCTTGGGTACAGGGTTTCCTTTTGGGGTGCTGAGAATGTTCTGGAATTAGACACAGCTGTTTGAACAGCTTTGTGAGTGCTCTAAATGCTGCCGTGCGGGGCCCTGTCAAATGCTTACAATAGCAGGTTTCATGTGATGTGCATTTTACAATTTAAAAAAAAGGGCGGCTGGGTAAGCCTCGTGGTGGCAACTGTGTCATGAGAGAGGAAACAGAGGCACACAGGAAGCCGCGCACACGGCCGGAGGCCTCTCCGCGTGTGCCTGCTGCCTCCTCAGTGTCTCCGCACCCGGGACCCTGCTCTCTGCGACACCTTGATGTGTGCCGGCCGTGTGACCCCCAGAGGCCTGTGGCTGTGTCCCCGACTTGCTGCACTACTGGGGCTTCCAGCGGGCGACCTGCCACTCGGGCCCCTCTGCACGTGGGGCTTGTTTGGGAAACAGGTGGCCCGGGGGACCCAGGGCGGGGCTAGGTGGCTCAGCCCAGGTGGGGGGAGTGGAGGGAGCCAGGCCCCGAGGGAAGAGCTGGAGGCCTGACTGCCCCGCTATTACCCAGAAGGCTGGGCGTTCGAGTCCGCCCGGCGGCCCCTAGGAAGAAAGCCCTGACTGACCTCCCCGATCCAGCACCTCCCTCTGACACGCAGGGTCTCTGGGGGCTGGACTCCACTGAGGCGGCCCCTGACTCCTGTGACCCCAGGCACGAAGCCGCCAGCGGTGCCTGGTCCGTCCCTGCCCTCGGCCACAGATCAGCCCGCCGTGGCCCCTCGGGTTCGCCCTGCCTGATGCTCACGGGCGGACCGTCTCCTCCGGCGCGGTCTGGGCGCTGCATGGAACCCTGCGGCGCGCTGCAATGCGCCCGCCTGCACCGACCGACGGCGGGGCCTGCCCGTCAGGTGAGCTGGCCACAATCGAACGGGTCTCCTGCACGGAGGGCGAGACCCCGAACTACCTGTGCTCCCAGATCAGTTGCCAAGGGCTCGACTCCGACTCACGGCAACCCCGTGAGTGACGGAGAGCAGCTGTGCTCCCTCCAGTGCTCAATGGCCGGTTTCTCAGAAGCCGCCGGCCAGGCTGTTCCTCCAGGTGCTCTGGGTGGAGTCGAACTCGCAACCATCCAGCCAGCAGCTGAGGCGGTAACCCTACACACCACCCTGGGACTGGTGTTTATTACTGTTACCCGCTAAATGGAAAACATGCGTTATAAACACGTGTGTCCATGTGTAACCTATAATTTAAAATCTAAATGATGGTAAAAATGGAGGATTTTCTGTTACGTGACATTCATCGCAATAGAAAAACACTGAATGGAAAGGCCTCCTAGAACAAAACACAGTGATGCAGCCCCGGTGCCTGTCGGCGGACGATGCAGAAACAAAGCCTTCAAACAACGGACTCCCTCAGCCTTATGCAGGCGTGGAGTCGGAGCCCGCGTCACAGCCTGAAAGCGCCTGGAAGACAGGGTGCCGGCCGACAGGAGTCACACGAGTCCTTTCTTCACTGTGGTTTTTCCCCTGAAGGAAGCTTTATTGTGATTTGGGTAACAGCTTACAGAGCAGACTCATAGCCCTTGGTTTGCTGACTTGGCGTGAATGTAGGCCCCACGGTGGCTGGCACTCGTCGCCCGTGTGTTTGGGTCCCCGTCCTCTTGTGCACGGCTCCTCTTACACGAAATATCTTGGTGGGAAAGGAACCCTGGTGGTGCAACGATTAAGCGCAGGGCTGCTAAAGAAAAGGCTGCAGGTTCGAGCCCAGGCAGCCCCTCTGCAGGAGACAGACCAGGCACCTGCTCCCATAAAGATGACACCCCAGGGAACCCTCGGGGGCAGTTCCCCTCTGTCGCACGAGGCCACTGTGAGTTGAAATGAGTCTCGACTGGTAGCCAAAAGGCTGGAGGTGTGAACCACCCAGAGGCACCTCGGAAGAATGGCCGGGCAACCAGTTTCCGAAAGGTCCCAGCCTGCAAAACCCCATGAAACACAGTTCTTCCCCGCAAGGGCGGGGTCGCATGAGTGGGAATGCACTCCATGGCGATGAACCACAGCAAAAAGGAAATGTCTAGGGACCTGGGGTACAGAGGCCGATATGCTGACAGGAGGCGACTATGAGACCAGAAGTGCTGCAATGGTTAAGTGATCAGCTGCCAACTGACAGGCTGGTGCCTCAGACCCGCCTGGCAGCTCCGTGCAAGGAGACCCGCCAATCTGCTCCTGTAAAGATTACAGCCAAGAAAACACTGTGGGGCAGGCCCACTGTCAGGGAGATGCCCTCTGAGTCTGAATCCACGGCGCCCAACGACAAGGACAGGGACATGCGCAGAGACAGGAAGCAAACGAGTCATTGCCAGGGACTGCAGAAGGGCGCTGTGGTGGCACAGTACTTAACATTTAACTTCTAACCAAGAGGTCGGCAGTTTGAACCCACCAGCGACTCCAGGAGAGAAAGATAGGCTGTCAGAGTCCATAAAGATTGACAGCCTTGCAGACCCTGTGGGCAGTTCCACTCTGTCCTCTAGGGGCGCTGTGAGTCAGAATGGACTCCACGGCAGTGGGTGTGGTTTGAGCTTTCCTTCTGTGAAGACTGACAGCCTTGGAGAGCCTGTGGGCAGTTTCACTCTGTCCTCTAGGGGCGCTGTGGGTCAGAATGGACTCCAGGACAGTGGGTGTGGTTTGGGCTTTGCTTCCGTGAAGATTGACAGCCTTGGAAGCTCCGTGGGGCAGTTCCAGTCTGTCCTCTAGGGGCGCTGTGAGTCAGAATGGACTCCAGGGCAGTGGGTGTGGTTTGGGCTTTGCTTCCCTGAAGATTGACAGCCTTGGAGACCCTGTGGGTAGTTCTACTCTGTCCTCTAGGGGAGCTATGAGTCAGAATGGACTCCAGGCAGTGGGTGTGGTTTGGGCTTTG